AAACCTTCTGGTTAGAGCATATATATTTCTTCTTTAAGTTCTCCATGAAAAAAATCAGTCTTTACATCCAATTGTTCAAGATGTAAATCATAAGCAGCACACATAGCTAACACTACTCTGATAGTGGTAAGTCTAACCACTGGAGAAAATATTTTATTGAAATCAATTCCTTCCTTTTGAGCATATCCTTTAACCACCAGTCTTGCATGATATCTTTCCACTTGATCATTACCATCACACTTAATCTTATAGACCCATTTGTTGTCGATGGCTTTCTGACCCTCTGGAAGTACAACAAGATCCCATGTCTTGTTTCTATGTAAGGCTCTCATTTCTTCCTGCATTGCTGCCATCCACAAAGAATTATTTGAGCAACTCACAGCCTCTTGAAAGGTCGATGGTTATCCATCTTCTGTTAGAAGACAATATGCATCATGACTTGCCATAACATAGTCTGATTGCCAATTAGGTTTCTCTTTTTGACGTGTTGATCGTCAAACTCCAACACCATCGGGTTCCTATGGTTCTTGTACCTCGTGTTCTAGTTCTGCTTCAAAAGAATCATCTTCTACGGACTTTTCATCTATATGAACAATAATGATATCTTTAGAAGTGCTATCATTTTCCTGCTCCCTTTGTAGTTCATTCTCTGCAAAGATTACATCCCTACTGACAATAACCTTGCGAGAAGTGGGATCCCACAGGCGATACCCCTTGACACCGTCAGCATAGCCCAAGAAAATGCATTTCCTGGATTTTGGATCTAGCTTAGTTCTTTCTAGGGAGTTGTACATCACGTACACATGACATCCAACTACATGTAGAGTAGAATACTCAGCTGGTTTTCCTTTCCACATCTCCATTGGAGTCTTTAAACCAATTGCACTTGATGGTGATCTATTTATCACATAACAAGCAGTTTTCACGACTTCTGCCCAGAACGACTTGGCTAATCCTGCAGTTTGCAACATAACTCAAGTCCTTTCTAGGAGAGTCTATTCATCCGCTCTGCTACACCATTTTGTTGAGGTGTATGAGCAACTGTAAATTGTCTCATTATACCCTCTTCCTTGCAGAATGCCAGAAACTCATCGTCTGTATATTCTCCTCCATTGTCTATCCTCAAGCACTTAATCTTCTTTTCAGTTTCAAGCTCAATCAGTGCTTTGAAATGCTTAAATATTGAAAACACATCTGATTTCTTCTTGATTGGATATACCCACAATCTTCTGGAGTAATCATCAATGAATGACACAAAATATTTTGCTCCTCTCAGGGACATTTGTGGTGACTCCCACACACCAGAATGAATCAAGTCCAATATGTGCTTGCTCTTAGTAGTTGATCTATCAAACTTCAACCTATGTTGTTTGCTTATCACACAGTGCTCACAAAAAGGTAAATTTACTAATTTGAGCCCAGGTAAGAGATCACGTTCCACAAGAACTTTTAAGCCTCGTTCTGACATATGGCCCAGTCTATGATGCCACATTGTCGTTAAGTTTTCTTGACTAGTTGATGCAACTAACACATCACCCCCTTGCAACATCTCTCCCATAAGAATGTATAGATTTGCAGATAGCTTTTCGGCCTTCATCACTACTAGAGCACCTCTCACCACCTTCAAGATCCCACCTTCAATATGGGTCTTGCACCCGAGGTCATTTAATTGTCCATAGACAATAAATTCTTCTTCAACCCTTTCATATGTCGTACCTTTTGAATTATGCAAACTGTACCATCATACATTTTTATTTTGATAGTACCGGCACCAACAATTTCTAAAGCGTAATCATTTCCCATGAACACTGATACTTCTGAGATAGGTTTATAAGTGTAAAACCAATCTCGTCGAGGAGTTATGTGCCATGTTGCTCCTGAATCAATTATCCAAACGTCAGTGAGTTTCTTACTACCTTTGGAACCAGTTGTTACTCCGCTATATAGAATCTCTCCATCATCAGAGGTATTGGAAATACATCCTTGAGATGAACTTGCCTCAAAAGACTTCTCACCATTCTTCTTAAACTAGCAAACTCTTTTCAAATGCCCTTTCTTGCCACAATTGTAGCATTTCAGATTTATCTTACTTTGAGACTTTGATCTACCATGATTTTGGCTCCCACTAGGGCCACGTTCCACTGATCTCCCTCTCGTCATTGTCAAAGCTTCTACTTGTTTTGAGTTTTCTTGACAGTTTTCCTTATTTATACGTCTGGACTCTTCCTCAAGAATGGCTCAGGCAACATCATCAAAGTATAGACGGTCTGTAACATTATCATTTGTTAAGTTGACGACAAGTGGATCATATGAATATGGTAAGCTCTGAAGTAGAAGTTCTGCATGTTTATTTTCTGCTATGCTGAAATTTGTCGATGTAAGTTGATGTGATTTGTCACGGATGTGGATTCACTCATTCGAAGAGTGTAGAGTCTTCTCTTTAAGAAAATTCGGTTGTGAAGTGACTTGACCTCGTACAGTTTGATGAGAACATCCCAAATCTCCTTTGCAATTTTCTTTTCGGCAACGCTAGACAAAATTGAATTTGCCAATGCTAAATGCAAATTGGCAACAACGTTGTTATCCATCTCATTCCACTTCTCGTCAGATATTCCCTCGGTTCTATCTTCAATTGCTGCTAAGCAATTATCCTTCCTCAGGATTGCCTTTATATTCAGTTTCCACAGGGAGAAACTACTCCCATTGAACTTCTCAATCTCAATTTTTGTTGTCATGGTAATTTCAATTAAACCGGCTTGCACAATTTCACTGTGAATAATATTCGCAGCGGAATATGGACCAATACCAAATGCTCTGATACCACTGTTGGGTATCAGAATAATATAAAATAATAATAACACAACTAAAATTTGAGAGAAGAGTATAGGAATGAGAAGAAACATAAGTAATGCAAACTCTTTGGATGATTATAAATTACATTATGATTTCTCTTTTTATAAGAATATCATTAACTATAATAAGTGAATACAGTGAATTCTACGTAATCTTCTCTTTATCATAGAAACCAATGATTTATATTTTATTAACTTTTTCTTTCTACAAAACAAAAATAACTTTATGTCCTTACAATTTCTTGCCTAATAATTTAAAAGTTCTTGCTATGGCACTAAGTAACTTAGAATAAAAAGTTGATAATATTAATGATTAAAGAGAATATGTTTAATGGAGAAACTATAAAAAGAAGTTTGGTTTGATTAATACTCTTACCCGGTTAGAAGCAAATATAAAGTCACTAGGGAGAAGCCAAACTAAAATATTTCAAAAATATGACAAATTTGAGAATTGTATCAAGTTAATAAACAAGTAAGGATGACAATTTGCCCCATTTCTAATAGGCATCTGTAAAATTACTTTCAACGGACAGGATAAAAACACGCAAAAATGGATATGGGCATACCCACCCCACCCCATATCTGCGTAATAAATATTTATGTATTTTTATTTATATTCATAGATTTTAATTTATATTATTATATAAAAAATGTATGTTTATCAATTTTAAAAAGTATATCAATGTTAAAGCATTATGTATTTAATATAAATGTTCGTTTATTTCAATAATTAATTATTTGAAAACTTTTTAATGTTTTTAAAAACTTAAAATGATATAACATTTTATAATTGATCTATTTATTTTTAATAGAAATACGGATAATGGGTACAGGTACTTACGTACCCATAAGGCACGTGTACGGGTGCTAGCTTTGCCAGTTAAGCGGATATGAATTTGGATACAGAGATTTTTTTAATCACAAATATAGTAATAGTACTATAGTACCTTGCTCAAACCCTGTTTATTGTCATCCTTAAAAACAAGTTAAGAGCTATAAAATATTTTACATGCTCTATTGTGAAAAGTTCAGCATAAAAAGAAATTGTATTTTTCTCAAAGAGAATTATTTAATGAAAAAATATAAAGGTAATAAAAAGAAAAATGATAAAGACATAATTGCAATTCCTCATGATGTATATATTGTTTATGATGATAATTCTATAAATATTTTATGTCAATATTCAATTTAAATTATTGATTTGAGATCCACATACCTTGTTATTCCTAGATGTAATTTATTCTCATCTTATCGTGTTTGTGATTTTTACATGATAATAGTGAGACACAAAAGAGTGTGTGTAATTGTTGATATTAGATATGTTTTGGATGAAGTTGGTATTGGATGCAAGTTTCAATTGAACAATATTAGACATATTTCTCATAGTTTGTTTCAATTTGATTTCGATCAAATATTAAATATTGAAGATTATCTACTAAAGAGTCTCAAATTTCTTAAATATGCCCTTCACTCTTCACATGAGTATGTGATGATCAATGATAATGAAGCGTCAAGACACTTTCAAAAGGCCATTGGAATTGTTGATAAGTAAAAGTTGTTTAAGATCATATAATAAAAGATGAGTTTCTGGTATGAAAATCACATATTTGAGTTGGTGAGATTTCTTAAGGGCGGAAAAGCACTCAGAAAAAAATAGATATAAGAGATAAAGTCTGAAAAGAGAATACATCTCAACCAAGATGTAATGTAAGACATGTAAAATAATTTAATCAAATAAAGAGTATTGAGTTTGATGATATTTTCTTACATGTGGTGAAGACAACTTTTATTTGACTTATGTTTGAATTAACATCTAGCTTGAATTTAGTGGTTAAACAATAAAGACGAAATCTTTTATGGTGATTAAGTAGACAAACCTATACTCCATACACAATGATACAACCATTCATCAAAGATGGCCATTTTATACTTTTTAAAAGTACAAACTAACACAATAGTTCTTTAACCAAAGCCTCAACATTATCTGTTTGGGGCAAAAAGAATATCCTGCTACCTCTTCCTTACAGAATAATTACAGGATTGATATCCAATCTTTATACTTTCATATTACAAACTTGGCATTGTTGGATACCTCAGGTAGCAATGTTAAGCTATGTAACAATAGCATAAAGAAAACTTCCTTTTAAATTAGTTAGTTGGGTACCAAAACATGCCTTTTATGCCCTCTGGGTCAGCTTCGAAACCTAAATTGCGATAAAATTCCACAACTGCATTCAAAAAACAAAAAAAAAAAACAATGAGTCACAGTTCAATCATTATTTTACATTTTCCATGAAAGAGCACGGAAATTCAAGCTTATACTAGCAAAACTACATTCATAACTAAGCCGAGATTAGGCAAAACAAGGAGAGAATGTTTTAGCATTGGTTTGGACCAGAAGATTAGCATTGGTCAAAAATCTGGTTTAATACAAAAGAACTGGATTAGTCACAAACTAGAGACAATTATAGAACAAGTTTGGATTGACTTATTTAAGCTTAAGTATTAACATGAGCACTTATCAGATTGTTTAGAAGAACTTATGAAAACATCTTATGACATGTTCATAAGTTGTTTTCAGCTTGTTTCCATAAGTTCTCTATAATAGCTTACGAAAACAACTTATAACTTAATTGAAAACAGCTTGACTTTTAATTTATTTTTTGTTATAGAAATAATTTATACACAAACCACTTATATAACCAGGGTTATAAACGCTCAATTAAGTTGTTTATCCAAATAAAGGCTCTATAATGTGGCCTTCGAAATTAATGGCATTGTTTTGCATCTTTATAACAGAAACATAGAATGCATAGCACAATACTGCCAAGAGAATTTTTGACAAACCGACCAGCCGGCTTTGACGCTTTGCAGAGGATTATGTAATTAAAATAAACAAAAAATTGAATATGAAAGGTATAAAGTTTGTCAATATTGTTATACCTTTACTATCTGCAAACAACGTTATATTACCGATGTCCCTTTGCAAAAGAGCTCGAATCAGTTTCTCTACAAGAGCTTTGCCAAGACCTTGTCCCTGCACAACCAAAACAACATCAATAAGCAGTTCCACATTCTATATGAAGTCATAATTTATGTTTGAGTCAAGCAAATGCATGATTACCCTAATGAATAAACTTAACAAATATTAGCATTTCAATCAATTCAATCTTTAACACAACTAATACAGTAGTAGAAAATTTTTTAAAAACTATGTAGTGGATGAAATTGGTTCCAGTTTTAGATGCAAACTATTTTAGTAACTTGAGCTGAAGTTAGTATTAATAATACATGTTCGGTTACAAAAATACCTGGTAGCCGGGATCAACTAGGACATCCCAAATCGTGGCATTGAAGGCATGGTCTGACGTAGCACGAGCCATGCCAATTAATATCTTTTGTTCATTCCCCTCTGTCAAATAACTTCGCCAAGTACACTAAGATGTTCATCAAATAAGTTTAGATAGCTACAAATATAACGAAAAACAGGACACGGTAAAATGTCGTATTGTTTTTACCTGACCCCGGTGACTTTCTTATAGAATAGAGACAGGCCACCATATAGCTGTTTTTCAAAGCAGCAGCTAATTTCGATAATGGCCTACGAGGCCACCCTACCTGTTCAAGAAAAACAGGACTCCGTAAAATGTTATATTGATAATGGCACATACATAATCACTTCCTTACGGTTACAACAGAAATATCAATGCACAACATAAACACATTAAATACACACCTTGTCACACAGGGCTTGAAGATCATAAACATCAATATCTCCACCGGAAGAGAACATTATCTGTTCAATTGTTCCATCAGGTTCGGTCTTTTCAACAAGCACAAACTCTTGAGGTAGAGGTTCTTCGTCTTCTTCATCTGTTAACTCTGAATCGATAACCTGCGTGGTATTATTCTTCGTTAACCTGAAAGGAAAAACAAGTCAACGGCATTTTCAATATAAGAGATACACTAATCATAACATGGCAATATTAGATTTCAACAACATGGAACATAATCAAATGAAACATCCTATATGAATAAAAAGTACCAGATTTGTGAAATGAATATCTATAATATTTGTGTATATAGAACTCTAATACCCATTTTCAATTTTTAAATGGATATAAAATTTGATAAGTACCCAGATTTAATTGACTCCCAAAATCCAGCTTTGAGCTGAAAAGTCCTAAACTTTCTGGTAGCTGAAATCAAAAGCAAAAACAAGCAACACATAAATAATTATAAAAGATTAACAAAACCACTGAGAAATAGAGTGAGAAAGAGAGTTATTTTACCTGTATTAAGAAAAGGGTAATTAAGATTAGTGGGAACTAACAACTGAGTTTGAGTAAAGAGTGAATAGTTGACGTGAAAGGGAACAATTGAGAACCTGCAAGAACAGCGACACATAAGAATAATACATAATAGTGGAAAAGGGTTGTGGAAGATGAGAGATAGAGAAAGAGAGGTTACGAAGAAGAAAGAGCGTTGAGATTGAGGGTTAGCATTTTGGGAATATTGGATTGGATTGGATGATATGTGAGTGATGATGATGCATGAAATGAATGTGTGCTTGTTCTCTAATCTGTCATAATTTTGCCTCTTTCTTCCCTTTTTGCCCTTGTATCCCTGGGCTGCCAATGTTGAAGTTGGGTTTCATTGTCTGGGCTGGTCCAGTTTTCAAACGTGTATCCAACCAGGAGGTTTTATCCTGCCATCACAATTTTGACTTGGCACCCCCACACGCTCATGATTGGTACAATATTATAATTTATTTTACAAAAACAATAGGAGAAAAATCTAGTCAAAATCATATGTTCAACTGGATTTTTTGAAAAATCCAATAAAAATGCATATATTTATCTGAGTTTTTTTTGAAAAATACGATAAAAATGCATTAATATTTTTGATTTTTTAAAAAAAAATTCGGTAAAAATGCACACGTTCTACCAGTCATTCACAAGCTTTCTTTTAGAGTCTTTTAAACGACATGATATATTGTGGCCATCTAAATTGTTACCTAGTATATGATTGTGAAACTCACATCTAACTGTAACCTTCGAACCGCTTCCGCTTGGCATAGATCTCAGCATAAATGGGCATTTCAATTTCATAGTATAATTTAGTTCAATTACATTCTTCTTCTTGTAATTTTCTCCTTTCTAATAACCTATAATCAATTTATCTTTTCTCCCTCTGATCTCATTTGAGTTATTAGAATGAATGGTAACAACAATAATACCATATTGTTTACCAACTGACTGTGTATGTGCCAAAACATCCACGTGAAAAGAAATATCTATCATTTACAACATATAAAAAATAAATATCAATGTCAAAGATATCATAATCATATTATTTTTTGAACATGTTAAAAATTAAACATGTATGTAAAACATATTGCGTCAGTGGTTAAAAACTAAGTAAAATTTGCAGGAGAATCATCAGGATCTTGACCAAACAAATACGAAATATATTAAGCTACCAGATTTTTTGGTTTATGCAAAAAATTTGATATGCTGAATTTAAAAAAAAAAATGGTACTTTTCAATGTTTCACCGATTTTTTGAAATATTCGGTAAGAACACAGATAGAATCCATAAAGTTACAGATTGTTCCTAAAAATACATAAAACTTCAAGAGATTTCAGGACTTTTCCAAAAGGTCTGGTAAAACGTCACGGGATTTTTTCCAAACGGCCTGGTAAAACGTCACAGGATTTTTTTCCAAAAGTCTGGTAAAATTGCAAGAAGATTCTAGATTTTTCAAAATATTCGATAAAAAACACATACCGAGTTTTTAAAATTCCGGTAAAAATGTATAAAACCTCCCTTTTGCAAATAAAAATCATACCGAATATTTGGAAGTAACCATCAATTTCTTTTACTAGTTATACCAAGAGAATTATTTTACTTAATTTGAGTTTTAAAAAGGTAAATAATGCAAAGGATATTTTTGTTGTTATAAAAGAATGTGAGGTTAAAATGGAGGGTATTACGATAAATAAGTAAGGACTAGGCTGGATCGCCAGGATGAGACCAACTATCAGATTCAGAACATGTTGACTGCCATTTTAGACTTCCACCCTATCTTAAATTTTGTTTAAATTTTTTTGTTTGACTCTGACTATTTTGTTACTTTGTTCTTCAATTTATAAAAAAATTATTTTATTTTTATATTATTCTTTTTATTGATGACAAAGGGGGAGAAAAAGAATATGATTTTGATATATCTTTAACCCATAATAAATTATAAACATACTAATGTCATGTTATTCATATGCCTTATTTTGTTGGAGATTTATTAACCAAGAAATCATATTTGTGTTGTCAAGATTATCAATCAGGAAATTAGATTTCTCCTTGATAAAAACCAAGTTCTGGAACTCTTATGTTACCCTAGTGAACATTTTTATCATATTCACTATTTTTCTGGATTGTCAAAAATTTGTAGTCTCATTCTCAATGGGAGCTTACAAACCTCACTCCAAAGAAGCTGAGAATAATTTTGATAAGTATGAAACCCAGGGGGAGGTTCCAAACCTAACTCTTAAGTTTTATAGAATTGTTTATCCAAGTCAAAAATGTGTTAAGAAACAAGTGTGAGTTGTGTGGAAAAATAAATGTGAGTTCTAAGTTCCACATTGCTTAGAAAAGTGGAGGTTAAACACTTTATAAGTAAGAGGACCCATACACCTATCACCTTAAAGTTTTAGGTGAATATGTGGTGTTTCTCTCACTTGTTTGGGTGAGTCTTTGATCTTTAGGTGAGTGTTTGACCCAATGTATATGCTTTCCCCTCATGATAACCCATCAGTTGGGCGGCTATTAGTTGGGAACTTCGACGCCAAGGATTTGATTTGAATATGATAAGAAAAAGAAATATTTTTGAAATGTTTTAAACTTCGACAGGAGTATTATTGAGGGTTTCAGTCGAAATGATTATCCTTTATGAGAAGGATACGCTGGGTCGAAACTTAGAAATATTTCTAAGTTTGGATGGCGAATTCGACGGAAATGATATAGAGCTTGCGTTCGACAGAAATTTTAAATTTCAAGTAAGGATGATAACTGTCTTTTGTTCTTATTTGTTTCTTAGAAATGACGCATGTAAAGCTGTGGCAAATTGAAGACATGCAGAGCAAAATGTGTCATTTTCTAGAGGATTTCTGTGTTTAATTGTTGTACAAATACTCACAAATCACTCAAAGTATCTAAGTTAATTGAGAAAAGAGTTTTTGTTGAGAATGTACATCTGAAACACCATTATTTTTATTTCAATTGAAAGTTATTTTCAGTTTACCATTTATTTCTTCATTGCAAATTTACTTTGAAGTTTTCTTTATTGCAATTTTTTTTATAATTCTGCAAATTTATGTTTTTAAACTTTAAACAATCTTCTACAATCATGAGTATTGTCAAAGTATTCTTAACATTTTCAGAAATAGTTTAAACAATATCACATGTCCTAGGATTCACTAGTTGATCCTGCAAGTAAACCAATTTTTTGGAGACCAGCGGTTGTTTACCAATTTTCACGGTAAACAAATTGGCACGCCCAGTGGGACAGTGCTATCATTTAAACATTTTTTCTGTTTTGAAATTTTTTATAAGTTCTTCATTTTTAATATCTCTCTAAACTTCGTTGTATGAGACTGAGGAGTGGTAAGATAACCACAAATAACGAAGAAAGACATAGGAGAAGATACATAAGAAGAATGGTGAATCAAAATCCACCAAATAATCAAAATCCACCAAATAATATTGGAGAACCACCCTTTCATCTTTGACAGGGCGATATACGGTTTCAACGTCTGTTTCTGAACCAGTACAATCTAAGGCAACTACGACACCTGTGCAGTCGATTACCCAAAGTGGACCCATTTTATCTTATGCCGAAACACAGGGTCCACTAGTGAATCCCCCTCCAGTAAGGAGTAATTTATTCAGGCCTTATATGCCTGGATTGTCAATGCCTCCAATAGGTCACAAACAACCTTATAACATGCCAACATTAATGATGGCAAGTTTGCATAATACAACATCAGCGTTTACAAACCCAATGGTGAACGTAACTTCTCCATTGCAAGGATCTGGTTCAGGCATTAATAATATAGGTCAAATTAGTCAGCCCTTAGGGACAGGATTTCCTACCCAAATGCCAAATATCACAAATAATTCTACAACGGTGATAAGGCAGTAAATGGATGAAAGCAACCAGGAAATTTTCCAAATGCTTGCCCAACAAATGAGTGTTATATTTAATCCTCTAATCTAAAACACTACCAAAAGAACCAACCAATGGCAGCGCAAATGACACACATTACTGATTTCTTTGTTGTCCCATAACTCCCTCGACAACCTCAAAGGGAATGAATGGTAGAAAATCTAGGGGTAGTCTTGGAAGAAGACCTCATCGTTTACCAAATCCAACAAAATGGACCCCAGGTGAATGTGGTAAATTAGGAAGTAGGAGTCGAACCACCTAGGGTCAAACCTCATAGGATTGAACAACAAATTCCAAGGGAAAGGGAACCAAGGGTAGTGATGGTGAATAGGAACCAAAAAGCTGGTGAAGTCATAAATCAGTTTCGACGAGATGACGTGGCAACGGACAATAACTTAGCAGCCATGGTCGAAAGAATTATGGCAAGGAATGGGGTAAATTTTGGTCTTCATAGGCCAAATTACACATCATCATTATTTGGATATATTTTGTAATCAGAATTACCCCCTAGATGGAAAGTCCCCAAGTTTACTAAGTTTTTTGGGGACAATAGTGAGTCCATTGTCGAACATGTAGCCAGATACTTAATAGAGGCAAGGGAAATTGCCAATAATGAAAACCTAAGGATAAAATATTTTCCAAGTTCCCTTACAAAGAATGCCTTCACGTGGTTCACCATATTACCATTGAATTTAATCATAATTGGACTCAACTAGAAAGATTGTTCCATTAACTGTTTTACATGGGACAGTCAAAGATAAGTTTGAAGGAATTGGCCAATATTAAATAGAAATTCTCTGAGCCAATAGATGATTACTTGAATAGGTTTCGTTTGCTTAAGGCCATGTGTTTTACATAAGTTCCTGAGCATGAGTTGGTCGAAATGGCCCTTGGTGGCCTTGACTATTCCATTAGGAAGAATCTATATACCCAATATCTGAGTGACATGGCCCAGTTGGCCGATAGAGTTCGACAGGTAGAACGCCTGAAGGCTGAGAAAGCCAAGGGGAATAAGAATAACAGAAAGGAAAGGGTAACCTACGTCGAATTTGAAGAAGAGGATCAAGAGGCATATAATGATCCTTTAAACTTCGACGAAAACGAAGTTGACCTTGCTGAACTGAAGCAAGGACCACTTTATTCCTGTAAAGTCCTAACACCTTCGAATGGAAAGAATGCAGTCGAAACAAAGAAATGTTATAGGTTCCCTAAGAGAATTTACACCTTTGACGTTACCAAGTGTGACGAAACCTTTGATTTATTAGTTAAGGATGGCCAGATG